TTGCATGTTACTATTGAATAATGAAAAATTACCTAAATAATGCAAAATTTTATTCATTACATTGTTTTTAATAAACTTTAAAACATATGACATGTTTATTTATCTTACAATGTACTATTCAACCATTTAGAGAAGTTTGCAACGTACAGGGATTTTTCGAATATAATCTTAGCATTGTCATTAACATACATACGCAAAAAGCCCCAAACAAGACCTCATGTTAGGTCTCATCGAATTAAGTACTAGTCTTTGGCAGCGCTGGTTGAATAATCACTGCACAAAGTAGTTGAGATCTTAAGCACACCAGCTTCTATTCCCACCATTCAATAATCCTCTCAATTTGCCTAAAATCATCCCCTCGTCCATCCATCCATCCATCCATCCAAACATGTACTCATCATCATAATCGTCGACTCGCGCCCCGTCGCGTGATCTTATCTAATTGGGGCTTGAACCTTATCTGTGCTACCTCCCATACACCATACTGTGATCGAGAGCACGCGTCCTCCGATTTTATCTCTGAAATCCTTTCCATTGCCTCGACCACTACCACCACCACTACTACCACTACGACTACTTTTTTAAGTGTATATATATCAGAATAGACGCCTTTCAACTACAACAGAGAGTCCGCTGGTAGGTATAGATATACCGAATAACTCTTGGTTTGGCTTGTTATAACTCCGATAATTATGTTAGCAATATCGCGCTGTGGTGCATATGCTCAACAAAAGAACCCTCGAGCGGGCCTCAGTCACAAATCCCCACGTACTGATGGGACTGAAGAGCGAAAAATAAAACCGCAGTAAGGATACAGGGAGGAAGGGATGATTACCGTATATATGTGTATCATTTAGTTCATGTACGTATGTCAAAACAGAAGAGAGAACACTGCATTTAAGGCAAGGCATGAGAGATGCGTGTATGGAAGGGTGTACCCATATGTATAGGGAGAACATGAGGAATTAATACATGCATGAGCAAGAATGACAGATTTCTAAAAGAAAAAGATATGCTTCTGAGAGATAATTTGTGCATGTGGCAGCGAAAAAGAGAGAAGGATAAACACGCGTATGGACAGGAGAAGGGATGGTTACTCGATGAGTTATATTATGTGTGTACGTATATGGTAGTGGTGGTGGTAATAGTAGTAGTAGGCCAGCTGCCGGTAATCCTCCTTTTGTAATTTGCTTCCGTGACCCCCTGCCAGTGGCGTGTTCAGTATCTCTGTTCGCACGTACTTAAAGGCCGAGCTGGCGAGAATTTGCTTTCGTTAAAACTGAAATATGCGCGCGATCGAACGGTAAGAAAGATCTCGTCAAAGCAAGGGCGAGAGATTCTTATCCAAACACAACAGCAGAAAAAGTGAGAAACGCGATGCTACCAACACTTTTACGTCTTGATATGCTGGCAAATCTTAAAGTCTATTTCGATTGTACTAGTATTGCGTACAAAAACAAAGATAAAGTGATAATGTTGCCTTAACTTTACGGCTGATCCATCATTCTTTTATAGATGACAGTTTTCCGAGATTTTATGTCTCTCTGTTGAATTCTTTATTTTTTATTATTATTATTTTTTTTTTCTTTTTTCTGTTGGGAAAGTCTGCTTTTATCAAAAACTGGCGTACTGAAATTATAGTCATGATCAAAAGGATACATCGGTCAAAAATTTTATGCAGATGCACAACTTTTCAAAACTGAATCATCACAAAATTTCGAAGCCACAAAAAGTATGTATAGAAAAGGAAGATTTATTCTGAATACCTTTATTACTCACAGGACAGTAAATAAATATTAGTTCAGTGGTACACAAAGATGAGTTTGAATAATTCGGGCTCGTGGTGAGGGTTTACCTGCGCGCTAAACGCTCGAATTTCATCGGTGAATAGTAAAAGAAAGAAAGAGAGAGAAAGAGAGGAAAAAAGTTAAAAGAGAGAGAGAGAGAGAATCTCTTACTGTGTACACAAGTATATATGCATACATATATGCGCACTCGAGAGTCTCTCGACCCCCTCGATCCCGCATAAGCGAATGGAGGGAAGAAAGAGAGAGAGAGAGAAAGAGAGAAGCGCTTGGGCGCATAAAAGAATTCCACGTCACCCTATGCCAATGGCAAGCGGTTGATGTCACTGTGGCCGTTCATAGTCCGGATAATAGAGTCCGCGACTTTAATGGACTCGCTAATCCTCTTGGCAGTTTGTACGCCAGCTTTATAATACATGCGAGTATATGTATATATAGGGAGAAGGGCACAAGGGGAGACATCATCGTCCGACGCATATAGGTATACTAGCGTCTAGTTTTGCTGTGCTGGCTGGGGCGTGTGCGCGCAGTCGCATCACTTTGTCAATGCGAGCGAAAAATCCCCGACCTCTCTCTTTCTCTCGTTCTCCCTCATTTTTCTCCCCCCGACTTTCTCTCAAATACAAGCTTTTTCTTTCACGCTCTCTCACGTGCGTGCATTCATTTTTTTTTTCTCTCTTGCTCTTCACTTACACTCTTCCTGCATTTTGCAACGTTTTTTGTATCTTCTTTTATTTACTGGGCACGTCTGTTCAATGATAAATGCTTTATTTGCTTGGGGTTGGAGGGCGAATGCCGACGTCCCATGGAAAAAAAGGAAAAAATCAGAAGTGAGATTTTTGATGAAATTGATTTACCTACACCATTACATTCATTAGACAATTCTGTAAGAAAATATAAAATATGTAAAAAATGTCCAAAATTGAATAGAATGGCTGGATTTAAGGGCATTCTTTAGAATTTTATAGTTTACTTCATTATGAATAATTGAATCAAGAACAATAAAAACGATAAAAAAGGGGCCATAAATTTAGAAAACGATACCAGAAAAGCTAACGTAAGAGCACTTACACTTTTTTCCACGTTAAGTCAGTGAACTTAGCCTAGAATTCCAAATCAAAGGAACCTTTAGCAACTACGCTTTTCTTCCTCTGCAACGGTATCCCAGTATAGAACGACCGTCTTACAAAAAAAAGTGTAACCATCACATTTGTGTGTTTCGGTGCACCTACACTTTTTTAAATTTGAAAACGAAGGATCAGCTCGATATCTTTCTTAAGTATTTATGACCACTTAAAAAAAAAAAATTTACGAAGTCACAAATGTTAATGATACTTTCACATTTCCCTACGGAAAATTTGATTTTTCTTATAAAAAAATTAAAATATCATCACTCATTTATACAAATGAAAACTTTTAATTGTAATAAGTTTTATGATCATCATTATTTCAATACAAATAGTTTCTGAACTTTTCTAACTTGATCCTATTGGTGCTTACGCTTTTTTTCATGAAACGGCAGAGTGGAAGACGGGGTTTTTAAGTTTAGCTCTTTTTTCTGTGTGCACTTATACTGAAATATTTTTCAATTAATTTTAAATCATTAATCAAGGTTTCTTATTATTCGAAACAATACAAGATTCAATAATACTTGTAAAAACAGAGCAATCGCCTGATCACTTTTTGGCATTTACTTTTTTCTGCCGCCCATCGCCGCTAAGCGCTGATCTCCCACTTCAAACGATTGACCAAGCAACTTATTCAACTTACAAATATTCAGACCCTTGCCTAAACCCGCCCGCCAACGTGTCACAAACAATTCAGGGCGTCTCGGCATCTTTTTTTCAATATACTTATTGATATAATGTACAGAGCAGAGACCACAAACCTATACGTGCATATCTCGCTCTCTTCTTTCATTTTAACCCATCGAGCCAGCACACCACACACGCGACAAAGACCTATTGGGGGTTGGCCGTACCTAAACTTTTCGAGGAAAAGGACACACGTTTGAGGTGGAGGGAGAGAGGGAGGATGGTAGTCATCGAGTTGCCACATCAGCGACGCGTTGCTAGATACGCCCCTTGTGTGCAACCACCGGTGCGATGATACCTTGATTTCTCGAGTGACATATTAAGCAGCTTCTCTCTCTCTCTTTCTCGTTTGTGTATATGTATGCATGCACGGGGTCACGCGACGAAAAAGGATAGATTAGGCACAGCTGTGCTGGTGTGCTCTAAGCGTCGCACTCTTTCTCTCTGTTTAGCACGACGGCTAAAAGTAGAGTGCGTTCGTCCTAGGGAGAGAGAGAGAGAGAAAGAGGGAGTGAAAGAGATGGGTGAAAGGATTCTTAAAGCTTACGCTCACATATACGCCCATGGGTGGACTAATTTTGTTGACATGAGCGAGTTCGATCACGCGTCTCGATTTATGTGAGTTGAACTCTCTTTGATGGTTTTTTTCTCGTTAAAATGTATCATAACCATAAGCTATTTGTTGTACACCCTTATTTAATTACGTTAAAATGAATGGTGATATTAGTTGTTGTTGTTACTACTTTTTTTTGATATGTTACATTTATTTTATAATTATTACTATTATAATTATAATCATTGCTATTATTATTATTATTATTATTATGACTATTATTATGACTATTATCACTACTATTATTATTACTATTTCAACTCAAAGTGAAACCTTTTTTCACATAATATAACACAGTATACGCGTAATCATGTTTGTTTGTTTGTTTTAGTTGTATAATGGTAATGCAATGGCGTGCGCATGTTTTTTTTCCATTTTGAGAGAAGGGAATTGGATGGTTGATAAGTATCTTGGTTTTTTTTTAACTGCTTGATATCTCAATCATTGGGGTGGAGTTATTGAGGGGGCACTGCTCACCCTTGACCTGAAAGCAGAATTTAAAGAATCGGTGAGTGTCTATGCATTGATCGTATGGTTATTATGAAGAATTAGTCGATAGCGATTTTCTATAGAATAGAAATAAAGTATACTTTATTTCGTGTAAGTACTTTTTTATTCATCTCAGATAAGACTTGATGGAAGTATTTTATTTCAACATTTGAATCATACAGCAACTCTTCGTTTGTACACATTTTTATAATTGAGTAGTGAAAGTTTCATTTGAATCAGTAAAAAAGAAAAAATAAGCAACGTGACACCCCGATTTCTTCAATTCGCTTTCCACCTCTTATCGTAAGCGATCGTCAATATCGGTGACATAGGCCCACCTTGATATGCCCGCTGGGACTCGATGATCTTTTGAATGTGGGGCGGTAAGTTCTTTGGGAACTGTGCAGGGGGCTGTTGCGGTGATGGGGCGCCCCGATATTGACCCAAAAGACCAGCCGGTGGCACGGCAGATACGGGCCTGTAGTTTGCATTTGGCAAGGCGTTAGGCTGGGATTGTTGCTGGTGCAGGTTGTACTGGCTCTTGTACTGAGGCGTGTAGTAGTTCTGGGAGGCAGGTGGCGAATCTGGCTGAGCGCCCGCCTGAATCGCCTGGATACCCTTGTACGTCGGTTGCGGTGGCGCTTGATTGTACTGAACCTGGAATTCGACAGTACATATACACGTGATGGTCAGACATAAATAGAGCTTGTGATCAACCAGATCATAAGATTGCTATGGAAAATTCCATGTTACGTCAATTCATCCGGAGCATGATAAAATATCATTTCACTATTACTTTGAATACACGTTCAAACATGCGTGGATATTAGAGAAAGTACACTATGGAGTTTCTACCGACTACTTACACTACTCCGCATTTATTTTGCTTATGACACTTGTCAATCACTAAAAATAAATTACTGTTGTTATACCAACTGCTGTTACATCCACCGGCAAAAGCACTTCCCATCATCCGAAGAATTTCTTCGTAATACAATGAAAATAAACACGGATAAACCCAAGATATAAAAAAAAAGCTTATCCTTTACCTTAGGGCTGTACTGCGCTGGTTGAATCAGAGGCTGCTGGGGTTGGACCTGTTGAGGAGGTGGCGTTCTGTGGATTCCAGGGGCCGAGGCTGCTTGAAGCTGTGGGGGTGGCTGGGCAGCTAAGTAGACCAGTGGTTCCCTGGCCTGTTGGAGCTTCAGTAGCTGCTTGATTTTATCAGGTGCCTCATTGTATGGCCTATAGTTGATGTGCTGGAGCGGGACATGCTGTGGCTCCTCGTGACTTTGCCGCTTAAGTCGAGCATGGTCTAAAATTGATGGGGACGTTTATTTTTTATTTTCTTTTGTTATTATTGTGAAAGAGGAATCCCAAAAAATTTTATCGGTAATACTAAAAGTAACGTAAGCGGCTTTCAAGTAAATAGTGTTTGAAACTGGTAATCAATTATTATTGGACTACGTGATCTCAAACAAATGGAGGAAAAGCCTCGGTTAGAAGTCGTTTTACTAACTGGGAATATTAAAAGTTAGATAATTACAGAAACTTACTGATAATTTTGTTCGAGCTTTCACCTGTGCATGTTGAAAACAAAAAACACATCACAATCTGCAAAGTATGAAAGTGATTATTCGTTTTAAATTCTCCGAGTATTTTCGTACTTTCAGAGAATTATATAACCCTAGTTGTATTATAATTTTATAACTGTTTTGACATTATTTTTCATTCAAAATGATTGTTTCCTCTTTAAAAAATGTTTTTAAATTTAAAAAGTAATTAGTTAGACGAAATAGTTAAAATGCTTACTAAAAAGTCTAAAATACATAAGTCAATAAATATGTAATCAATCTAATCTAATTTGATTTTATATGAAAAGTTTATTCAGTGTCGTACCATTGCCTTATATCTTGGAAAGTCAATAAAATGAGCGAGAAATTATTTTTAAGGAAAATTAAATTATTAAATATAAATTCTATTTTTTAATTGTATTGACCAACAATGTTAAGTCATTTAAGTCCTTCAACAACCTCATTTACCCTTTTCTATAACAGTTATAAGAAAAACATAAATTTTTTTATATGATTTATACTCATCGTATAGTTGAAAAGCTTAAATATATAATAATGATGATGAGGATGATGATGATGATAATAAAATATATAGCAGAGAAACTTAGACAGTTCAACACGCAACGTTTACCTTCTCGCTAACACAAAAATCTCTGTCAAAATTGAACTTATCAAAAAAAAATCGTAAGAAGTGTGAGCAACTCTCTTAAGCCCCCATCAAAAGAAGCGATACCTCCACACTCTCTTAAGGACACTTACTATGCGCCACATAGTGCCACCAAATAACACAGACTGTTGTATGAAACGTTTTAACACAACGATGTCTCTACTGCAGACAGCCCACTCTTGTACGTGATGAGGATTTTGGAAGGACCCCGAAGAAACTGGCCGCGGAGTTGCACAGCGCTTCTATATGGGCTTTGCACCCACCGCTACTGCACGCACGCTTTCACGCGCAACAGCAACAGGAGCGTGTATGTAGAATGCTTGCCTTTACCCTAAGGCTCGTACTGAACTACTAGTTGGAAGATCACGTAACGGTGCAGCTCCACCTCTCTCTCTCCCTTACTCTCGTAGTCCGCCAGGTACACAGCGAGAGTGTGCCCAGGAAGCGATCGGGTTTGCGAAAAAATGTCAGTCGAGAGTAACTGCCTGGGTACGTCGAGAGCGCACGTGCAGGCGAGTACATAACGCTTTTGGGATCGGCTTTTCGAGGTGGTTTTTTTTTTTACACGGTAAATTTTATGGACTGGTTTTTCGTTGACCCGTTAATTCATTAGTGCCTCGACTTATAGTCGGTTAATACTTATTTTGCTGATAGTGCTTTCGATTATTTTGATTGATCGAGTCGGGGCCTATGGAGAAAAGAAAAAAAGCCACTTTTGCTGACTTGTGAGAAAACTGTCAACGAACTATTAGAGAAAATGCGAAAACTTGCATGAAATTTTATTAGACGTCGGTGAATGGAAAAATTGTATACAAAGTGAAATTTTATACACATGTAATAATGAACAACTTTTTTAAATGACTTCTTCAAATATTTTTAGAAGATTGTATAGAATAGATAAAAATAAAATATTAAATCAAATTTAATTCATGATATCTATGAAATACTAAAATACTCAATCACTTGTGGGTATAACGTAATAAAGGAAATCACTTTCATACAACGCATTGTTATCAACGCAATATTTCAAAATCAAAAGCATTCAATGTATGTTTTTCATCGTATTTAGCTTCTTTTACTAAAGAAAAAAAAAGTCTTAATAACCCAATTACAGTAACTTGACGTTCTAGTCAGCTATAAATACTATTGATGTATACGCCTCCTTTAATCATTAGAGTCCATCCTGCGGTCAGTACTTGACTTACGGCATCGACTGACAGAGTAATTTATGCGTCGTCATTAGTTAAATGAAAAAAAAATCTCTACATACAAAGTGTACACGTACAGGGCTATTTGAGTGAGTAGGTATAAGTAAGTAATTGGGCTGAGCTCACTTACAACTTTTCGTTCGCGTCTATTGTACGCCACAATTTTCAAGCCATGAACCACAGCAACATCTGGTATAGGCTCAATGCACGTAGTACAACAATCCTGCAGCACTTCAAATTACCATTCATAGTTGCGGTGGAAAATTTTACCTCTCACACTAAATATTTTAGCAGCAGCGGCGTATTATCGCTTAGTGGTTTTTGCACAGAGGGAAATAACACTTAATGGAAAAAGGTATAACGAAGGACGACTCCTTCCGTGTTGTTCACACAACAAGTGGCAATTTTCCTCTCGACAATATAGCCACTCTACATGTGCATTTGCGCGCAAACGAGGTGAAAATATGTGGATATTTTTTCCACAGCTGGAGCTTGTTGGTATTTTCGAAGCTATACCCTGAGTTTTTTTTAGAAAATATAAAGTTCTCAGACCCCTTGGGCGTAATATCTCTTTTGTGTATGATGTAACTATGACTTGTCGATAATTTTTTAATTGTATAGGCACTACAGAGTGAGAGCTTGTTTGTGGGTATGTTGGTATTTAGAAAAACTTGCTGTATTGCAAAAATTACAAGTAGGTTTTTTTACTGTCTCAATGAAGATGGTTTCATTTTTATTTCTTTTTTGTACAATTGAGTATACATAACACTGAAATTCTTAAATCAATAGTAATAATTATTATAAGAATAATGCACTTTTCGCCAGACATATACCTATACACAATATTAAAGATCCACAACTCATACATCACGCAGAGTGTCACTTATACGCTATTTAAAATTCTATATATCACTGTGATCTCATAATAATAATAATGATATAATAATAAGTAATTGTGATACGATGTAATATACAGCATAAGTTAAATATTTAATGGACTACAGTTCATTTTAAATAGCATAATATATTACGAAAAAAAAGTTACAACGATACATTTATCTCATGTATTCATAAAAAAATGAAATGCTGCTGAAACGCTCAAATATAAATTTTTCTGTTTCCGATCAATAGCCAGTCATAGAAATTTTACTGATCTAAGTCCCTCGTGGATTCGATTCAGCATACATAAATCGCAACAACAACTCTCAAACGTGCTTGTATAGAGACTTAGGCAGTATAATATACCCTAAATAACGAAATGCAACAGTGGTGGTGGTAACTTTCTCGATGAAATCGATACGAAAGAGAGAGAACAAGTGCGCAGGAGAGTGTTACCGAGACGGGACGAAAAGGGAAACGGGCGCTCTGGCTCTCTTTGCTATATCGGTATTTAGTATATATTATGTGCAAGAGCTACAAGCGCGTGCACAGTAGTTTAATTAGTTTGATTAATTACATCATTCATTTTTAAGTTCACGTGAATAGAACGGGACGATGAACTTTTACTCTCGGTGTGTGCAATGTGTGAAGGTTTTCTTTTTGTCTACGTGAGTTTTTCAATGAAATTCTTTTTAATTAATGATCGTTAAGTAGCTGATGCTAATTTTTTTTTTTCTACAAAACTGAGTATCAAAAATAAAATATACAGCTCGTTCTCCTTGGGTCTAAAAAAAAGTTCATACCGCTGAGCCAATTTTCTAGGCATGCGAGCATAAACTGCATCCAGAACTTTCTAGTTTTACGTCCTAGCGCTGGAATACACGCTGTCTATAAATATGAAAAAAATAGCTGAAACAAAAATCCCGTCTTCGTATCCTTAACAAAAACCGAATTCTTATATTTTTCTTCGCACAGGTAAACTAGAAAAATAAAATAAATCAATACTGCTGCTCGTGCACGGGACGCGCCTTGTTCTGCGGCTGTTCCGCGTACTGTTGCTGCTGTTGATGGTTACCATAATAAGCTTGAGTGTGGGTGTAAGATGACTGGGCAGGAGCAGCAGCGGCCTGGTGTTTGAAATGTGAATGTACTGGGGCCTCAGCTGTAGCAGCTTGATACTCTTGGGGCTGTACAGGTTGGGGCACATAAGGCTTATCTGGCTGGTAGGATATTTGGTTGGCAATTATGTCATAGGGTAATTGTGCCTGGTACTTCAAAATCTCCTGGATTTGTTGGGGTACGCTGCTGGAGTAATGTGGCAGTTGCTCGACGGGCGGCTGGCTTATTCTCTTGTAGGCTTTAGGGTCGAAGTTGAAATGCTGCTGTATTGGTTGATTCTGCGGCTGAGCCTGTGGTTTATGCTGGTAGGCTTCGATCTGCTGCGGTGCCTGACGTCGCTGCTGGTGGGCGTATGCCTCCTGTTGATGGGTGTTAGCTGACTGCTGTTGGGCATAGGCTTGTTGCTGCTGGTAGGCCTCGTACTGGGGTGCTTGGCGTCTCTGTTGCTGCTGAGTGTAAGTCTGTGGGTAGTAGACCGAATGGTCTTGTTGCTGCTGCTGCTCATAATCGTATTCAGCAACCTGACGACGCTGACGGGCTTGATGTTGATGCTGTTGCTGTTGTCGAGGCTTCGATCTGTAAGGACTCCGAGGCGCTTCTTCAATTATGAGCTGTGGGGGCTGCTGGGCGAGGACCTGCTTGGGATATTCCTCGGCAAATTTCTTGGCTTGCTCTTGGGCAGCTGAGAGAGCGTTCTGTCTGAAAGTTACAGAATTTCATTCGATGGTTATTATAGTGTGTTTTTTACGCCTACAGTGAAATGATTGTATTATTAGTGTTTTTTATTTTCTAATCGATTCAGAGTATGATTGTTAAGTTTTCTTGACGATATTTTATGGCATCATTACATCATTACAAACCAACAGATGATTTGTTGAAATTGGGGAATTAACAAAACTTTGAATGTCTATTTCTATAGTTAAGTTGCGATATGTGTTAGTATGTTACAAGTTACACATCTTCAATTGCTATTAAAGACTATTATGAATTGTAATTGAATTAATCGTTGTTACCGAACGCAATAGATTTTAAAGATCTTTTTAAGTTAGCCATGTAAATCAAAACCAACGCCAACACATTTTTTTATGTTTGACATATGAGTATTTCATTTTAGGCAATTGTCACTGACTTATTCAATACTTTTCTTCACAATAGTGTGATTTTTTTCCTATCATGAGCCTTTTTTTATAGCTGATCCTAGTAATCCGTCTTTAACCTTATATCCAGGTGCACTGTACAAGAACACTTTAGAATAATGCATCCCAAACTTCTAACCACCCAAACTTATTTACTTTCCACGGAGAAGATACCTAAATTTTCTTTAGTATTGACTCTTTCGAAGGGAGAGTATGGAGGAAATGCAGGTGATTGACGCAAGTCGAGATGAGTTTCACTGTTTAGGGCAAGAAGAGCCCCGTACTTCCCAATTCCTGTCTGTCTTCCTTTAATAGTCATTAACTATAATATTATAACTATCTATAACTATCTATAATGGCCATACTTGTGCCATCGAAATAATGAGAACTACTAAAAAAGGATAATTTTTTTTTTCCAAATTAATGCAGAAAGAACTTTCTGAAAGCTATTAACAAAGATATTCATTATTAATAATAAATAAAAATTTTATGTATTAAAAAACTACTGCATCCATTAATACTCTATAACTTATTGTGGAAAAAAAATTGGTAATTTATTTGTATCTTTTGCATTTTTTATTCGATCTAAAAGTTATAAAATAAAATGTATTTATTTCTTGATTTATTTTTATTTGTTTCGTATACCTAACGCCAGTGAAAAAACAAATATAAACTTTATTTTGTAAGAATTTATTTTTATTGTACTTAAAAAGACGAATAATTGTCTCCGGTTGGTCATATCAATTCAGTAGTAAAACTAAAAGCTTAGTTTTTAAAATTTAAACTAAAAAGCAGTTTTCCATCATCTAACATCATGTCACGCTGTAGAGGGAATTTGAATAAAGTTTAATCCAAGCATTACCTTTCCATTTAACTTTATCGATACTTTTCAATAATTCGAGCAGTCCTACGTGGCTTACTTGGCTCAATTGCACGAAGGGGGTAGAAGGGTACTCGTAATGATCACTTAAGATTTTTCTAGTAGGAATAATACAATTGAAAAAGAAATGATTTCAACTACTTATCTTATTTGTAAGTTTAAAATAAATTTTTTTTAGTATTAAGTAAAATTTTTAACAATACCGTATTAGGATTTTTCATTACATGTTTCATGATAGAAATGTAGATTTTCATATGCTGTTATAAGTTGTAAGGTAAATTAGTAGAAAAATTTTTTATACTTAAAGTGGAAGGATTATGATTAATATGGTTAGTATTTTTTGTTCATATGATTTTGCCACCCAAATAGTTAGCACTGAATCTTTTGTCTGAATATTCATTAATTAAGAATGCTTTATTTTGTTGCTAGAAACTAAGCAAGATTCTGATTAAACCAAATTTAATCGGCATCTACTTATTTTAAAATCTCTTTTTTGAACGTAACTATCAGACTAGTTAATTTTTCTTCATCAAGTACAATCATACAGTAACCTCAATACAAAAATTCAGTGTTGCAAAAACTTTACTTTTGGAAGAAAATGACAATTTCCTTTGTCAAAAACAGCACAGTTGTCATCTACCTTGATATTTCCAAGCTCAAAAGTACCACTTATACCCCCTGGCAATATGTGCACCCAAATTATCTATAACTTAATGACATAATGACGAGCAATTTAAAAAAGCTTGAAAATAATAGTAAAAAAGTCCCACAATAAAATCTCACCAACGCTCATGCAGACTCTTATAATGTATGCATATACACTGCATACCTGAGGTGCTCGGGTATGATGTCAACATATGGTATTTGGGCTTGGAACTGAAGTATTTCTTGAATCGACGGCGGAGCCTTCTCAATGGGGTTGTAATTGATATTGGCCACGGGAGCTCCGTATTGGTGGTGTTGAATCTGAGGCTGGGTTTGTGGCTGCGCCTGAGCTCGAGGAGCTGCTGTTGCAGCTTGAGCTTGCACTCGTCGGTGTGCAGGGCGACGTGACATTGGCCGTATTATTGGCTCTTCATATTGTTGCTGCTGCTGCTGCTGCTGCTGCTGCTGCTGCTGCTGCTGCTGTTGCTGTTGCTGTTGCTGTTGTTTGTATGCGCGCCAATTTAATCGGTGACCTGTTCATAGAAAAATTTTCTGTTAGTTTGTACTAGTTATTTGGTATCTGACACTTTTTAATAAAACTAATTTTATTTTTTTATCAATAATATATATTGGAATGGTTGAAATCCAAAGGGGTTTAGTTATGACATCATTAAATGTTAGATTCTATTTCGGATTGACTATCATAAACATGATGTTAAGTGTAGTTTACTAATTACTCACTAAATTTTAATCTTATTAACAGTTTTTTATATAAATTGCAAAAATAACATTTAAAGTTAATGAGATGTTCTAATTTTTTTTAATGTTTGTAGAAAATAAGTAATCATGGTAGTTCGATGGAATCTACGAAAAAGATACCTAATTCGTCAGTTAAATTATAAGACTTTGAAAGATTTTATTTATTAGATAATATTAAGATGAATTCACAGTTGATTCTAATTGTATTACTAGTTTCCAAAATACAACAAGAAACTTCATAAGAGGGTTACTACGGACTTCCGAGTTTTTCACAAAAATTTGCTTAAAGCAAAACAAAAATATTTACAACAACTAAGCTGTACCACTAGAATGATTCTTATATTTGATACCTTGGTCCTGTTGCACATTTTGCTGGGCCTCTTCCTGGCTTGGGTCGTAGTTATGCAGATAAGCTTGACTCCCACCGTCGGTTGGTCCGTGAATCTGGAACTCAGAGTTGCCATCTGTGGCACCTTGGATGTGAAAATTTGAATTACTATCCGTAGCACCTTGAATACGGAAGTCACTGTTGCCATCGCTGGCTCCTTGGATTGTGAAGCCGTCGTTTCTCAAAGACGCTGAGAATAATGAATAAATTCTTACAGTATGCACCAAACACTGACGTAAGACTTTTAAAGCCACTGGGGTTTGTTCCAACTAAGATGATTTCCTATAAATGGACCTATGCATACACCTTGGATTTTAAAATTTTATATTATTAATCTTTAAAGCCGAAGATTCATCTCTAATTAATTATTGTGTTTCAATCCAATACAAGAAATTCCAAATGCACGTGAAGGCGTTAAGTCATATATGGAATCGCGAGAGATTTCATAAGTGCTAGTACATAAATATCTCTTTACTTTTCCCTTTTTAAATTCTCGGGTAACTCGAGAGCTTTAATGGTGACAACTCTCACCCGTAAAGCAAAACAAGCATTAAATTTAAGCAGTATAGGATCATAGGACTACATTACCACGGGTACCATTTAACACCACACACACATTGACACATCTCGTGACACACACATTTGTATACTACGATTTAATATATAGTATTTCGAAATTTAGACTTGTTTAAATATTTGCATGTGTTTGCGCTGCAGATAGAAAACGTTGTGTGAATTATTTTCATTTCGTGTTTTCCGAGCCAGGTGCGAATAAAATGTGATCAATTTATTATCGCTAGCTCTTAGCTGAGTAGTGTTGTAGGCTATGCCTGTCTTATGAAAGAGGGAAGGGGAGAGTCGTCTAGCTTATAATGGCAACGCATATTGAGACTGTGCAATTACCGGCCTGGTCTGTGTACTCGACACCCTTGTCCGCACTGTACTTGAGGCCCTGGGCCCGTCTGTTTCCATCGCTAGGCCCTTGAATTGAAAACTGCCCATAGCAGAAAGGCAGCAGCAACAAAATAATTATCTGCAAAAAAAAATTTATTCAATGGAGTTTTCATACCGTACAATACAAATGTGGCGAAAATTTCGTATGAATTTATTTTTAGCTGAAGTAATTTTATTTATTTAATTTTAACACTTCACACACCTTATTCTATATAGGCAGAGACGATCTTACCTTGATTTTTTAACCAATTCAATATAATACTTAATACTTTATACTTTTTACTTCATGGTAAATGTGATTCAAAAGTTTTAAACAAGAATGCAAAGTATTTAGGTGAAATTCATGATATCATAACTCTTAAAATTTTAATTCCATGTCACGTGCAATAACAGCACCGTTACTACTACGAATACCGTTCGTAAATAAGCCTTATAGAAAATTCATACACTTTAGATGAGAATACATTATTAGTATTAAACCCCGAACATTTTAATAAAGAGACAGAAAATATAAACTGAAAAGAATTTTTAAAAATGGTCAAAAACTTATACGTTATACCTGAACGGAGTTAAAAATATCGGTGAAAGTTCCCCCCTTCCCCTCCCCAATACATCTATCTATAAGCGCAGATCCTAACATTAAATCGTGGCAAAGTTTGCAGTCTTCTTTTAATACAATAATGAACGATGGGTATAGTACACATGCTACTCTGTCACAACGACGCCGATTAGCAAAAGCCGCGTGCTCCTCTCTTGAACGTGTATGCTTATTAGGTAGGTATCGAGTTAGGTACTTTTATACAGGCAATGCAAGAGTGAGAGGAGAAGCGAAATAGAAAGTGTAGTGTCATATATGCTTAGCCTAGTCAGCTATAACATTATATGGGCGTCTAAAGGCTGCTCTTTGCTCTTCGAGCTGGTTTTACGTACGTATACATGTTTGATATTTCTCCCTCTCTTAATTTCTTTGATGTTTTCTTGGTTTCGAGTTAATTACTAGCTCACTGTTTCTGAATATATAATAAATACGAGCTTGGATGTTGCATCAGCATGTTCAAACAGATAAAACTTTGTAAAATTAACTATTTAAATATGTTTTTAGACTCTGATACAGAACAAATTTTTTCGTTTGAAAAATTACTTTTTAATTTAATTTTACAAGCAAATAAGTCCAAACTAAAGCAAAGGATGAGTAGAATCAATTTAAGTCTGACAATATACGTTGGATGGGAGAGAGAGTCACACTTGAGATGATATTTAAGACGAAGTATTTACTTGACTTTTCACGATACCCAAACTTTTAAAAAGTAATAAAATTGACAAAACTACGATAAACGAATACTTAATCCGTTCAGTAAAATTGCGACTGCACCCATGTAAATCGTATGACACTTATTAGCATTGATCTCGCGGTATACACCACGTAGGAGCGAAAGTAGGTACGTTACCAACGTCGAAGCAAGGCGAATGACTCCGTAAGATTCTTCGTCGTTATTACCGATGATTATTTGACTCCGTAAAATTCTTCGTCGTTATTACCGATGATTATTTTTCCTTAGTGCCCACTGTCTGCGCATTTATTATGGAAAGCCCAAGTTTAACTGTTGAGCTTGAAATAAGTGGAGTACACTTGTCTTGTGAATATTATTATTTAGTTGTATTATTTAACGGCTGTGCTGTCGAAAGATATTTTCAAATTACTATTGCAACGCCGACCATTGTGGTGTTTCTTATAAATACCTTTAATGGATCTTTAGAGTTATTATTTTTTTTAAACTGACCAATTCGAGAAAATTGACCAGTCTACGAAGTAGTCCTAAAAAAGTTTGGAATTCATATGAAAATATGAATATCATGTCATTTAAATATTTTTGACTTAATAGAGTATACGGAAACAAATGTGATCTAGTTTTTCTGAATAATACATGAAAGTAAAAAAATTGTATTTTGTCGAAAAGTACAAAAGATGAATGATTCAAGATTTTTTTCTGTAATCTTATTCCATCAGTATTACGGGCTTAAAAACTCTTCTTTTACACTGTACTAAAGTTAGCCTCTATCCAGACTTGAGAACCCCTCCTGATATCAACTCTGTGTCATCCAGCCAACACCTATAAAGTTAACTACTTACAATAAATATTGAAATAAACGTATTGAGATCAAAATAATTTAAATAATCATCCCATCATCCGCTTCCGAAGTAACTAACAGTGGTGCTCTCACTGCCCGCAATGAACTCGCACACTTTCTCGTTTCCATACATAAAAGTACATTAAAGAAAGACGAAAAAAGGACTCTTAATCTCTCGTGATTGCAGAAACGTAATTGTGGGCTAACATTTGCCATAAATGTGCAGTCGAGTTCATTTAAATTCTTGGACTTGTAAAAGTGCGCACAGAATACATCTTTCGACACCAGTCACGGACCGATTTTCAATTCCGAAATCGCTACGGCGACACTTAAAAAGCCAGCAAGGGCTCCAAGATTTTTGCCCGAGAACTGCGGTAGTTGCAACAACAATAGAACATGAAAGGGAAAATAACACTAGTCTGCATCCAGTACCGTTCACTCGTTCACAGTCGTTAAAAGTGTATATACCCTGTCTTCTCTCTAATGTCGACAATAAAATCATAATCACAGTAAATAACGCATACATAATCTCCCAACAAAGATCGAAGAGTAAAAAATTAGAAAAAGAAAAAAGAAAGAAAGAAAATAGGCTTCATTACGATGTGCTATTTACCTGCGATAGTTTCGCCATAGCGTGCGCTGGCGTTCTTGGCTCGGCTCCGAGTATCGTCGAGGGTGGAGCGGTTCTGAGGCGGGAGCGCGTACCACGATACAACTTTATAGGCGCTGAACCTCTCTTTAAGCGGCAGCAGCAATGGCAGCAGATAGCTAGCTGTTGCTGCTAAGTGAGCGCGAGGGGATGCCCGGCGAACGGCGCCGAACTGCAACCAACAGCCACCTCTTTTCGGTCTAATGCACGTGTTTATGTGCTTGTGATGTACTTACGCTACATCTACACATGTGTGTCACAAAGAGTGTTAGAAGTGATTCTGGGCCGATTTTTTTTAGAAAAGTTCAAACTGATTTTGGATTTTCATTTTACTGATAGGATAATCATGACTGTGGGGGGTTCGATAAATTTTTTTACAAATTTTTTCAAGTGTTAATTTTTTTTTTACTTGTAAAATTACATAAAATATGTAAAGAACAAAAAGAACAAGTTAGCGCACTGTAAGCTAATTTATATATCTCAGCAGGTACTATTTTTCCGCGTCGCAAGAACGTCAGTCAGCCTCACCTACTTGATTCTAGAAAGTTTTTAATACTTTCTCAATGCTGTTATAGCTTATTTTTGTTTCCGTAACAAAACAAAAATTAAAGAAAAAAAATAGAAAAAATACAAAATAAAAGTATTTATTCGATTACTTTCTAATAAAATGTTCATACTACACACTTCAGGCGTCAAATTATGTTAATAAGCTAACTCCCTGCAAATGTGGATTAGATAAATAAAAAATCCACACTCTATACATCCACACGCTAGCTAACTTAACGATTAATTACAGCTTTCAAAAGATAAGATTAGCGATCAGTGATCTTGTCCCGAGTTTAATCCAAGATCCGCCAGGAAATTTCAACTTTAGGAAAAAATGTTGTATACGTTGAAGTGCAATGTGCAACACTGCATGAAGAAAAAAAAAAACGAAGAATTTATTCTTATTGCATCAGTCGTCACTGTTACTGAGTTAATTTAAAGAAACTCTAACAAAACAAGAAACGTGCAATGTTTGCTATCATTTTTTGCATGATGGAACCACTTTGAATAACAACACAGCAGTATGCTTGTACGACAATTATTTTATAAACATGGATCAAACTTGGATCACGATGTAATGAACACACGTAAACAATAACCAACGAATCCGTCCATTTGTCCGTCAAGTGAAGTTGGGCACAATGATTAGTCCACGAAGGATTACACTAGAGTGGCCACACCTCTACGTAATTCCCTCGTAACAGGCGTTTCTCGGTCAGCGACTCCAATTCATTTCTCTTTCTACCTTCTCCATCTTCTACACCATTGCATTAAATCGCAACGAACACTCGCTTGTTAAGTCTTTAACGAATTTCCGGAATCCCCATCTGACAGCCGAGGCTTGGAAGCACGCGAACCTTAAAAAAAGCAAAAACTACGTGCTCGAGTACTTGAGTAAAAACGAAAGTACATGCTGGCATTCTGTATACAACATCTGAAAACTGTATCCATAGTGTACGCCTGTGCACTTTGTGTATATATATATATATATATATATATAGTTTTAATTGCGTCGGAGCCTGAAGGCCACGAAAGTGGTACATGCGAGCCTTCCTTCCTCATCCGGAGAAATGGTGTTTGTGCGATGGGGCTGTTGGCGTATGGAAACATAGTATACGTATTCATTCGTTTTGGTGCAGTGAAATTGTTCATTAATCGATTTTTTTTTCTTGTCTATTCTTTTTCACTCTTATGTGTGACGTTGCATGGAGAAAATCTACTGCACTTTTTGTTCCACGATTGAATGAATTGTTAGTGACTTCGTAAATAAGAGCTTATATTTAAAAAAAAAAAAAAAAAAAAACCTATTGGGCTTTTACAGTTTGTTGGAAAGTATTCAGTTTTTTGCCCAGTTTTGGCTCATTGCTTGAAGTAACAACATTCAATTGGATAGTAGCCTTATTTTTAAACCCATGTTCTTTGTATGTAAAATATGTTAAAATCGCTTTGTTTATATTTGCAGGACTTTAAATAAAAATGAAAGAATTCGTTTGTCAGTATATTTTTGTTTTTATTTTATATTATAAGGAATCCATTTGATAATTTACAATTTAAATACATAATACTTCGTGGTCCTTACAACTATTGTATGTAATGTACACCCAGTATGATTAGAATCATTTAATTTTTTTATTCTTTTAATTTTTGGTATTGAGAAAATTATGATCGTATACTACTTAAAAATAAAATGTATGATTCAAATAGCCATACTTCAATTGATTTATGATAATGTCACTATTTTTCGCGAAAAAACACCTAATTTTTTC